GCGAGCAACACCAAGTCGGAGGTACCAAATGGCAGATTATCGTAGTAGAAGCAGTGTTCCGAGAATGGTACGACCACAGTGTAAGATCATGTAGGGTTCTTGTGACGATCATTAGGCCAATCTTTGGTTTTATTGCCTAGCAGGACTGGGCAAACTTGAGTTCGATGTCGAGGAGCGTGTTCCCGAGACCCGGGTAACCGATGTCTTGGTGTCTTGGTGTTTCAATCTTATCGCAAGACGGAAGGGACCCTGGTGTCAGTCTGAATCGCATCAGGCACGGGAAGGCGCGAGTCGCTCGGGGTGAGAACTGTCGCAAGTCATTTCCGATAACAGCCTGCGGGCTTAGTGATTCATGGCAGGAATGTTGTCGCGCAGATGACGGTGAGCATTGTGAATTTCAATGGAATGATGCGATGATAGGGTCTGCATTGTCAATAATTAGGAGGTAGCGGCGGACCGTGTGGTCGGTCGAGTGAAGGCCACTGCTGCAGCCGGCATTGCACGTGTTTTCTTTGTTGTGGCGCAGTCTCGATGAGCGCATGGGTTGCTGCCATCGCATGAACTTCACATGACAGCTGCTCATAAGACTCACCCGACAACCGAACCAACATGACAAGACGGAAGAACCCTCGCGTCTCAAACGCAGGGCCTCATCACACTGCTGCTCCGACACCGACTCGCTCGCAGGGTTCTTCATCCTCCTCCGGTTCGCGCTCGCGCAATAGCACAGTGGAGATTTCATCAGGACAGCGCGTGGCGGCACCAAGGAACAATTTTGCCTCGGCGGCCTGACCGAAATGTCAAGATGCATGAGAGGCGCGCAAAAGCCGTTTTACCAATACCGATGGGTATGATTTTCCCCAGGTTGTTGATGAGGTTGACTCGCTTGTTGTTCTGTTTTGGGGCGGCTACTTTAGGCGCCGGAGTTCTGGAGCCGCACAAGTCTTGGGAGGGACCTTGCTTTGGCTCCCGTATTGGCAGAAATAGATTGGACGGCTGATTGTGATTTATGGGAGCGGGTGTGGCGGACATGGGATCGTGACTGGAGAGATGCAAGAGAAGGTTTTGGAGAGTGGACGATAGGACGAATGCGTGTCTGGTGGTGCTTGGGACGGTCAGCTGATCAGCTATCAGGCGTAAACTATCAACCATCCCGTCACACAGAACACGGGACTCGGCATGGGGTTCTGGATTCAGTCCCACCGTCAGGCACTCGGCCATTCCCGTTGGCGGTGGGCAGACGGTGAGCTGAGGCTTGGTTTCATGGCGCATCCAGGCACGCCAATGTGAGTGGACGGCTTCCTTCGTGTCGTTTCAGCGCCTAGACTGACCGGGCGCAGCGGAGCCAATCATCCGTCTGTTCCGATTCCCAACCCCTGCCACGCCCTCACCAACCCTCCCATGTTGCGAACTTCATATCCACTGTTTCCCTCGCTCCCCCTCTGACCTCACGCTCGCCGTCCCTTGTCGTGTCGTTTCCACACCTTCGTTTCTTGTCCAACTGTTGCTCACTCGCTACGGCAACATAGTACACCCGTCTACATTCGCTTCTCACGCTGTCTTCGAGCCGGTTTCTGGTCCCCTATTTCCCGTCTTCAGCCCCTAGTGAAGACAAAGTCTATTGACGTCGCTTTCAATTTCCTCGGCCCTATTCGCCTTCACCGTCGCTACTATCGCTATCGATACTGCACATCGCAATCGCCGCCTAACGCTTCTGTCGACTAATTCCGCCGGACTGGACCGCGTCTCGTCTTCAACACCACCCCATTCACCACCTCGACGTGCAGCGCACTGTCGGTTCTCTCAACCTTTGTGCCTACACACCGGCTCCTTCACGACACATTGTGATGTATTCACGGTGACCACGACCTACCCTCGCCCCACACTGTCAACATCTGCCGCTTCGTTAAGCGCGCGTGGGATATAGGTCCATTGACAACGACGTCGCGCCATTACTCCTGCTTCAAGAACCTACCGTCACCGAAAATAGCACCTGGTAGTGCGCAACAACAATTCACCGATCGCGTCGCATCACACAGCCTCGCACACCCGAGAACCTGCAGCTAGCAACCCTCGTGAGCACCGACTCGCGAGCGACCTGTACTACTCAACAACCGAACACAATACCCGAGACATGTCTCTCACAAGATATCTCCTCCGCCTCCGTGGCGCCCAACCGACCGCGCCAATGACCAAGCGCCACTTCCTCTCAGACTGGGACGCCGCTGAGTTTGAAGATCTCAAATACTCGTACGGTCTGGAGGGTGTCGACCAAGTCGGCAACTACATGTGGGTCGACGCCTTCCTATACCTGCTAGTTGGTATCTCAGGTATCCTACTCCTCCTCCGGATATCAAACATGTGGTGGAAACACAGCCGCCATCTGAGCGCCATGGGAAACTCAAAGCAAAAGTACTGGGAAGTCAACCGGACAAGCTGGTGGCCGTGGCTCAACCGCCATGTCCTGATGGCACCCCTATGGAAGAAGAAGCACAACGCTCAGTTTCAGATCAGCAGCGCCATCGACAACGGAACGCTGCCTGGCAGATGGCACACCATCATGTTGGTCATCTACGTAGCCCTGAACGTCGCCTGGTGTGTGGCTCTCCCCTACAAGGTGCTCGACCACAAGGAGACCCTCGCCGCGCTCCGTGGACGCTCAGGAACACTCGCTGCCCTCAACCTCATCCCCACCGTTCTCTTCGCCCTCCGCAACAACCCACTCATCACCCTCCTCCAAGTCTCGTACGATGATTTCAACCTGTTCCATCGCTGGGCTGCGCGAATCACCATTGCGGAAGCCATTGTCCACACTGCTGCCTGGCTGTACAACACCAAGCTCGCAGCAGGATGGCCTGCCGTTACAGCTGCTCTCCACACCGAAGGCTCGTACGGCTGGGGTATGGTTGGAACCGTTGCCTTTACCTTCCTTGGTATCCAGGCATGGTCGCCATTCCGCCACGCTTTCTACGAGACCTTCCTCAACATTCACCGTCTCTGCGTCATCGCTGCGCTTCTCGGTCTCTACAAGCATCTGGAGCTGCACAGCCTCCCGCAAGTTCCCTGGATGCACCTGGTTTTCTTCTTCTGGGGTGCCGAGTGGGTCTGCCGATGGGCCTCAATCCTCTATTACGGCATCGGCCTCAGGCAAAGATCATCAATCACTGTCGAGGCCATGCCCGGAGAGGCTGTTCGTCTGACCATCAACATGGTCCGCGAGTGGACTCCTCGCCCAGGATGCCACGTACACATGTGGATGCCAGCTCTCTCCCTCTGGTCCTCGCATCCCTTCTCTGTCGCGTGGGCTGCAACACTCACCCCAGATTCCAAGGAGATGACACTGCCCATGCTCGAAGGCGATGTCCTTGCGATGCATGGCCGTCCCCAAAAGTCAAAGCAAATCAGCCTGGTCTGCCGTGCGCGTACTGGACTTACCCGTCACATGTACGAGAAGGCCTGCAAGAGCCCCAACGAGCAATTCACCACCTTTGGTTTCATCGAAGGTCCATATGGCGGCCACCACAGCCTCGACTCATACGGAACCGCAGTACTATTTGCTGGCGGTGTAGGCATTACTCACCAAGTCATGTACCTAAAGCACCTCGTCAATGGCTACAACAACGGAACCACCGCAACACAAAGAATAGTCCTCATCTGGACAGTCCCCACATCCGACTGCCTAGAGTGGGTCAGGCCCTGGATGGACGAGGTCCTCCGCATGAAGGGTCGCAAGCAATGTCTCCGCATCAAGCTTTTCATCTCAAGACCCAAGGGTCGCGTTGAGAGCAGCAGTGAGACAGTCAAGATGTACAGTGGTCGTCCGCAACACGCGGCCTTGATCGAAGAAGAGGTCAAGAACCGTGTAGGTGCTATGGCTGTCACAGTGTGCGCATCAGGCGGTATGGCGGATGGCGTAAGACATGCGGTTCGACCGTTCCTTACGCAAGGTAGCGTTGATTTCATTGAGGAGGCCTTCACATACTAAGAGGCCTTGGTCAATGTACGATACTGTTGGCAACGTTACGCTTAACAAATTCCTTGTTCATCGCCTACTATCGCACCGCATCGTGCACGACGCTTACGCTCGACCGCCTTGGGCAAGTCACACCCGGGTTCATTGTACATCATCTCTCTCGACTATTACCCAGTCGAGAACTCACATAACTATACCAAAACATTATCTTTCTTATTTCCCACATTGTTCACTTCTTTGTAAATACCTCCTACTTAATGCTTTACTTCTTGTCCAATATGTCACCGTCTCATACTTGTCATGTCTCTCCTTGAATCTCTGATCGGCGTTTTATGAGCGATGCATTTATTAGCGTGTCCGGGTCTTGATAGATATCTATCGTAGCTTTGTGTATAACAGTAGCATATCATCTACCAAGAGTTCGTCCTTTCATTATTTTCTTCATCTGCTCAGGCACTGCAACTCCTAATTTCTTGGTGTTCACTGATCTGTACAAGGGTAAATTGCTCAGCCTCAGGTGTTGATCAGGGTACTGATCCAGACTTTCTCTCATCATCGCTAAGCCCACTCAGTCGTCACTTCCCCCACTTCCATTGTTCGGACGTCCACGTAATCGCGGTCCTACGGTCTCGATATGTGGCTTAGTCGGCCAGGGGCACACCGCCGACCTATCCGTGCGCGCCCATGATTGGCCGACACCACAGGAAGTGGACCCTCGGCCAACCCAATACACAATGCATCCCCACATTGGCGCCGAAAAGTGGCGGTGACGACACTGTGGCTGGTTCACTGCAGTCGCGACTTTCCCTTTGTTGTGTCATGGGTGTGTATAAATAAGAAGGTGGTACTTCGGCGGGGATCGTGCTTTGCCAAACAGTGTGACGTTGTCGAGAACCTTACCTTCAACTTTAAATAACCCTCCCGCTCCCGCTGAATTTCGATCTTCAAGTCAACTCGCGATACACTCAACCTTACCTATTGTAACCTAGTCATCAAGATCTAAGTTTATTCCTTCATACACAACATTATGTCTGGATACGACGGCTCCGGCTACAACCAGGGCGGATACGGTCAGCAAGGCGGCTATCAACAACAGGGTGATTATGGACAGCAAGGCAGCTATGGACAAGACAATTACAATGGCGGCGGTGGATACCAGCAGCCTCCTCACCAACAACAGCCCCATGGTGCAGCAAGCGCATACTATGGTGGTCAAGGAGGCCCTCAGGCTTACGGTCAACAAGGAGGTTACGATGCGGCACCTCCTCAATACCAACAACTCCCTTCTGCGGCAGCCCACTCATCTAACTCCGGTCGCAACTCGATGAACCAAGGTCATCAGAACCAATACGGCGGCGAGGGCGACCCAGAGGGTGACCGTGGTGTCATGGGAGGTCTCGCCGGCGCAGCAGCAGGAGGCTACGGTGGCCACGCTCTCGGTGGTAAAGCCGGCCACGGCGTAGCCGGCACCGTAATCGGCGCCCTCGCAGGAGCATTCGCGGGACACAAAGGCCAAGACGCCGTAGAAGAGAAATGGGACGAGCGCAAAGAGAAGAAGAAGCAAGAAGAAGAGGAAGAAAAGCGCAAGAAGTACGGCCAGCAACACCAAGGTCCCCCTCCCATTCAACACCACCAAGACACCAACAACCAGCGCTCCCAAGGCGACTTCGGCGGCAACTTCAGCGCCTCCTCGCGCGACATCCGTCTCGATGCTCATGGCGACTACACCCTGCACGCCCAGTGCCGCCGCGCAGACGGCTCCTACCAATCCTCCTCCATATCCCTGAACCGCATCCTCGAAAACGACGGCGGCAGTTTCCGCTGGTCGGGCTCCAACTCCAGCGGCGGTGGCGGCGAGAACACGTATACAGTCCAACAAGGCGACACGCTCCGCGCCATTGCATCACGCTTCTCGCACTGCTCCTACGAGGACCTCGCTCGCCATAACAATATTACCAACCCGGACCAGATTTGGCCTGGGCAGAATCTTAAGGTCCCGGGTGGGAATAGCAGTCGTGGGGGTGGTGGGTTTGGGAGTTCGGCCAGGGGGATGAGGTTGGCGGATGGGGGCCAGAGGTTGGAGGGTGAGTTGGAATATCAGGGACATTGGAGGATGAGGGAGATTAATCTTGATGAGAGGATTGGTAATCGGGATGGTTGCCTGGTGTTTGTTTAGGAGGTTGTAGGGTGGAATGGGAGAATGGGAGTTGATGGGAAAGGTACTGTAGTGTACTTCTCACCAATAAACCTATGATACATCTTCAAGACTATCAATTACACGCTCATGTCTCTGTGCATATGGATGCGTGAGGAAAGCAGCGATGGCTATATATTCAGCGTGTACGAAGGCGAAAGTACGAGTGTCAAGTGATCATAACGCAGTGCGCTTTTCTCGTTACAGTCTTGTCTTGATCTACCCACATTACCTCTCCACACAATTCGCATACCGCTTCAAGAAGTCATGCAGATGGACCAAAGAATCCGTCGGAGCGAGAGACATATAGCGACTCTGCACGTCGCCGACATGTGCCAATTCAAGATATTTGCATGTCACCCACCATATCTCTAGTCCATGCTTGACAAAGCCTAGTAGCCTTTGTTCTTCTGCTTCACGTTTCGCGTGCAGAGCATCCCACAGCTCTTTCCAGCGTTTCGTGGCACGGACTAGATTAGCGTGTACCATCGGAGCCAGAAGAGTGGCTCGCGATACGAATACGATGGAATGTAATGCTGCGAGAATGTGTTAGCTCAATGTTGTAGATTACAATGGGAAAAGGGAAGGATAGCCTTACCGAATATGCAGATCATGAGAAGTCGATGTTCAAGGACGTCAATAAGGGGACTCTTCTGCTCATCAGACCAGTCCTCGCTCATCAATGCAGAAACCAGTTGCTTAATACTAGGCTTCGGTCTCGCTAAGCGTTTCGACTGTGTGCGCAAACGAGTGTAATCTTCCGCCGTAGCCGCATCGTAAAGCACATCGTTACACGGCAGCGTCTGGGAGACCTCCGCTATAGCAATTTTGGGTACCGAGCTGAAGAAAAAGGTGGCCATGCAATCCATAGCAAAAATGAAGTGTACAGCCCTCACTCTAGACTCTTCGGCTATAAACGCATTCCACTCCGGTACTTGGTTTTGAGACCTCACTGTGACAGTTGGTTCGAGTAACTTGAGCGATCTCATTGCAGCGACAATTTCTGGGTGTCGAGATATTTCGACTCGGCTGCGCGTGGCTTCATTATTGAAAGTACTCTGCAGAGCCACTATGAGTGATGCAGCTTGGACTGCTTCCAGAGCGCGAGGGTCGTGTCCGAAATTGGGTTTTGCGACTACATCGCGTAGATGCTCGAAGATGAAATCTTCGGCCAGATGGAAGAAGGAACGAGATGATAGGGCGCCGTCTGTGGGTGTACAATGTACCGATCCTCCAAAGGCGACAGCAAGGAGCAAGGGTAACGAGACCTTCTGCATATCGAATGTCGGCCAGTGAATGAGTGGCTGCTGGGGATGGAAGACGGTAAAATAAGCCCAGATACACTCTTCGAAGTTTTCTGCTGTGAAGACTGCTTTCGCGGCAACCACGGGGAAAGCGCCTTCGGGATTGAAGTGTGCCGTTCGACATGTTTGGCTATAAATAAAGAGCTGAGAACATAGCTCGTCGATCCTAGGTTGGAGAAGCGTGGTCGTCTGGGGTCTCCCGGGTGCCGGTGGTATCGAAGCACTGATGTCTATATCGCTGTACACGAAGAAGTCTGAGAAGATGCCGAAGAGTGCCACATCCCTGTCGAAAAGCTGATGGTCTGCATCGTTGTTTTCTTGACTTCTGGACGACCGTACAGTCAATGGATCGCCGATGAAAGCACTGAGTATCGACTCGCGACGAGGGTCTGTATATTGATATAGGAATGTGATGGGACAGGGAGGAAGACTCTGAGCGTTTTCCACTCCAGCCGTGGTATCGCGGCTCAAATGACTGGCACCGGTAGTGTGCGCATATTCGTGTAACAGCTGTGCATGGTTTTCGGTCGTTCTGAGCCGGCTTCGTCGTCCTGGTTTGGCAGAGGCTATCTCATCGTGCTCGCCTCGCTTTTGGCATGACTTTGAGTGTCTTCTGAGGACGTCGCTAAGTAAGGTCAACGTCAATGTCTCACGAGCTTACCCAACACAGGCGAAAACCTACTGGCGGACGAACGTGCGATTACAGAAGCTGCAGGTGTTTAGACGATTGCGAGTATCTTTTTGGCGTTAAGTAAGCTTTAAGCGGCATGTTCGCATGGTGAACTCACGAGCCGATTCATGCCGTCGCAGGTGGCTGTTACTCGAAAAGAACTTGTTGCACGTGCTACATCTATAGGATGTGCTACCTGCGTCCGTATCGATAGCGTCTGGCATTGACTGGCTCTTCGTTATTGACGCGGCCGCCCATGATGTGGGCTTTCCAAGGTTGAATGTGGGGTTTCAGGATGTGGGCTTTCCGCCCATGTGGGCTTTAACTGCGGCCACCTTACCGCAAAGGGCCGACCACGTGACACAGCATCGATGCTCTCCCCATACCATCGTGTATCAGCACTCCTGTTGCAAGAATGAGTCTGCTTCTTTCAAATACTTTATGTCGCCATGTCAAAGCTGCGAAGGTTTCTAAGTCAGAGAAGCTACTACACATTCGGTATCATGCCACTCTTTCCATCTTGAATCAATCAACTGACAGTGCCCAGCATCTACACCAAGACCTCACCTCAGAAGTCCTCGACTCAGCCATGCATCATTTGATAGCATGTCTACCAGCTCCCACCGCCACGAGACCGTAGAGCGAAATGAAAAGCGCAGCGAGACACTCCTCCCATCAGCCGTCGCCAAACCCAGGGGTGTAGTGGAACACGTCCTGTAAGCCACTCTCCCAGACATACTCAAACACTTACTGAAAGACTCCAGAACGACCACGGATCAAATACTCAACTGGGTTCGACAAAGCTCCATCCACCCACTGACCTTCGGCCTCGCCTGCTGCGCCATCGAAATGATGCATTGCTCCACGCCGCGCTACGACCAAGACTGACTAGGCATAATCTTTCGCGCGTCCCCTCGCCAGGCAGATGTTATGATCGTTGCGGGCACAGTCACCAACAAGATGGCTCCTGCTGTTCGGCAGTGCTATGATCAGATGCCTGAGCCCAGATGGGTGATCAGCATGGGAAGTTGCGCGAATGGTGGCGGGTACTATCACTATAGTTATAGTGTGGTCAGGGGCGTGGATAGAATTATTCCTGTGGATATATATGTTCCGGGGTGTCCTCCGACGGCTGAGGCGTTGTTGTATGGTGTCTTTCAGTTGCAGAAAAAGATTAGACATACGAAGACGACGAGGATGTGGTATCGGAAATAGTTCGCAGCGCGATAGTCGAAAAAAGAGCTGCCCAGATGTTTTGGGATTTCGCCTCTCACATTCTTCTCTCACTACGCTGTGCGGCACACCCGGTCGCTCCTGCCTCGTCGTCCCTTCCTTCCCTAAACGTCTGCGGCGCGTCTGAGACTTCACCACTCACCACGCGATTAAAGGATCATCGCACTTTGCATCGGCTCCGTCGTTTTTTCTCGTTCCATCGCGTCGCATCCTCTGTACCGCAATTGTAACTTTCCCAAGACGCGTACAAAGTCTACGTCTCACGCGCCGAGGAGTGTCATCAGAAGTGAGAGCGAGATCTTCGAAAATGCCGAACTTCAAGCCAACAGAGCCCGAAACGCGCGACCACTACTTCGACTTAGGTTTAGATGAGTCTGCCACAACATCAGAGATCAAGAAGGCGTTCAAAAGATTAGCGCTACTATATCATCCGGATAAGAAGGCACCAGGCGAAACCATAGATGCTGTCGAGTTTAGACGGGCAAGTCTACCAACCGATGAAGCACCATGATGAGATACTGACGGACAATAGGTGCGAGAGGCAGTCGAGACACTGGCAGATCCTGAAGCACGAAGCGAATACGACACACGATACGCAGACATCCAGGAAAATTGGAACATCTATCGCCGCGATTATGCGTATTACGAATACCGAGTCGAATGCGAGCGCATCGAAGCTGAAGAGGAACAAGCGCGTATGGAGAGGGAACAACAGCGCCAGGCGGGGGAGAAACAACGCAAAGCAGAAGATGAAGCTCGTGCAGATGCTGAGCGAACTGCTCGAGAGAAGAAGGAGAAGCTTGCAGAAGAGAGGTCGCGTCAAGCGGCAGAACGTGCAGCAAAAGTGCAAGCTAAGGCAGCTGAGGAGCGACTGCGGAAATTAGAAGAGGAGCGAGAAATCTACCGAAAATGGCGCCACGAACAACGCCAAAAGGAGGCCGAAGAGCGCGAAGCAAAAGTCAGAGAGCAACATCGCCTTGAACAAGAGCGAAAGGCCCAAGAGTATCTCGCTGCACTGGAGGCACAACAGAAGCTCGCAGAGCAGAAGGCGCGCCAGGTGGAAGAATTGATGGTCCGAACGTACATGCAACAATTCTTTACCGAGACCGTCGACGCAGAGAGTCAACGCATACAGCGGCGCGTCCGCCTGGCGCACATATGGGCGCGACAACTCCACACAGACGCAAAGACTGCTGCTGGTGCAGGACCTGATGCCAAATCCGAGTGTGTAGAACTGGGGTGGCACCGGATCGATGGCACTGCCACCTGCGACTTTTGCGTCAAGGATGTGAAGCTGTACTTCTTTGCGTGTCCCTTGGGAGGGGCGGCGGCGTGTGGGGACTGCAAGTATAAGTTCGCGCATGGGTACGAGACGGCGAGTGGGGAGGTTATCGGAAAGCGCAACGGAGAGGAGAAGAAGGCCGGCAAAGTCGGTGGAAAGAAGGGCAAGAGTAAGGGCAAAGGCAAAGGGAAGAATTGACAGGATGTAAGACGCAGGTGATAACCGAGGGTGTACAGCATGAGTATACTAAACTTGTCAGTGAGAAGTAAAGATGTAAAGTGCAAGACACGACAGAGAGTGTACAGCATACGCGTACCATGATTGTCTGTAAGAAGCACGTCAGGAAGAGGCCGCCAAGGTCATAACGACATATGGAATGTCTGATACAAGTCTTACAGGAGTATAACAATGACAAGTCCAAAGACCCACCCATTATGCCAATCCGTTATCCCCAGATGCACCCCAAACATGCCGTTTCCGTGATTATCGTAAGTAATAATAAAGATAAGTAACCAACCCAACACCGGGGGTATCTTTAGAAGAATGCACACCAAACACTTTTCCCAGCGCCCAAAACACCTTTTTATCCCACAGCCTGGTGACCCAAATGTCCGTGATGATGCGTGCAGTCAAACAAGGAAAGAAGACGGGGTGATGCGGGCAAGCTGAGAGAGGAGAGAAAGGGAGACTGGCAAAGGCACTACCCGGTCCATCCCATATCTCCGCCTTGCTGTCCACCCTGCCGTCCCAATTGTTGGGCTTGTTGCTGTGCTTGACGCATCATCATCATCTGGGTCATCTGCTGTTGGTTCATGGGCTGCATTCCTTGCATACCCTGCATGCCACCGTTCATCTGTCCACCCTGCATGCCGCCCATGCCTCCATTCATCTGGTTCATTTGCGCCATGTTCATACCCTGACCCATGTTGCCCATGTTACCCATGTTCATGCCCTGCATGCCGCCACCTTGCATGCTGTTCATGGTATTCATGTTGCCCATCATGCCCTGAGGCAATTGGCCACCGCTTGCCATGGCTTGTTGTCGCATTTGTAGGAGTCGAGAATTGTTTGCGGCGTTTGCACGTTGTTGTTGGAGCATCTGCTGGTACTGTTGCATTTGCATGGGGTTGGGGGTGTTGCCGTTCTGCATGCCGTTCATTTGGCCGCCGTTCATCTGGCCGCCCATGTTGTTCTGCATATGTGCCATCTGCATCTGTTGTTCACGCTGCTCTCGCTGCTTGATTTGCATTTCCATCTGGTGGATTTGTTGCATGACCTGGGGAGGAATGTTCTGGCCGTAGTTCTGCATGACCGTTTGCTTGTGCTGCTGATAGCGCGCGCGCATCTGCTGGAGATTCAGGTTAGCAAAAGTCATGGTCCCTTGATTATTGGGCATGCCATTCTGCTGCATGCCTGCTCCAGGTGACATATTCTGCATAGCCATTTGCTGTTGACTTTGCTGCTGATTTTGGGTCAATTGGCGGAAATAGTGCTGCGCGAGCTGGTTGCGGTATGCCTGCGGATTCTGGCCTTGCGGAACTCCCTGAGTCTGGATTTGCTGCGTAGCCTTTTGGAATGCCAGCTGTTGGAATTGTTGCTGCTGGTTACCTGGCGATCCTGTTTGCTGCATTTGCTGCATGCGAAGTTGCTGCTGCAGACGCTGTTGTTGCATCTGCTGAGCCTGTTCAGGCGTCATGTTGTGACCTGGCTGAGGTGTCTGCATCATCATTGGCGTTTGCCCTTGCATGGCCATAGATGGGCTGCCCTGGCCCATGCGACTCGGGGTCGGCGTCATGTTGCGATTCGGCATGGAGGCATTCATTACAGGCGTTCCTTGTACGATGTGCGGTGTGCCTGTGCGACTCAAGTTCTGCTGCTGACTGACGGAGCGCATCATGTTCTGGTGATTAGAGACGGCAGATGGTGGGCGAGCAGGACTGTTGATGGCCTGGTTCGAAGCGGTAGGTACCATCGGGGTGCCACCAAGTTGATGCGCAGCCTGCCCACCAAGTGATGGCGAGGCTGCAGCGGCGGTCATCGGTGTTTGCTGGCGTATGGTGGGCGAAAACTGAGATTGTGTAGCCGACTGAGGTGTCTGAGTAGCCTGTATGGCTGCCGCGTTCGACATCTGGTGCTGTGCTGCGGCTGCGGCTCGCAAGGCTTCATTCTGCTGCTGGTTCTGCTGCAGTTGTGCTTGATGTGCTTGCTGGCGAAGAGCCTGTTGCTGTTGACGCTCCGCGAGTTCGGCCTGCTGTCTGCTCTCAATCTCTCTCTTCCGCTGGATCTCAGCCTCCATCTGCGCTTGGCGTTTAGCTTGAGCGATTCGAGCGTCTTCCTCTTTCTTCCTCCGGTCGGCTTCCTCATGGTTTGCACGGATGTTAGCAATGGTCTTGAAGCGGGCAAATGTCTGGGAGTTGGCAGCGGCGCGCACAGCGTTGTCGTCGTTGCCGGCGGCTGTGGCCGTCATATTGCTCTGGTACTCGTCGCCCGCCAACATATAGCGCTGTAGACCCTGAGCCTCTGCCTCGTCTGCAGCCAGCTCGGCGGTGGTCCTCTTGCGAGTCTTGCGTGGAGGGGCGGGGTTCTTGTTGTTCGGATGTGTGATGGCATCCATAAGTGCGAGCGATTCACCGAAGCTCTTGGTGGGCTCCAAATAGAGGGGTGGGCAGGTGGCCCTCAGTAACTCGGCCTCGAACTCGTGTACGTTGCTATCATCGAGGACCATTTTTTGGCGTTTCGGGCTTGGGCCGTTCGCAAAGGTAGGCGTGGAGGGTACTGCCGTCATGGGAGTCGGCGGCATGCCTCCAGCTCTGCCCTGGGCTTGCATTCTTTTGAGGGTAGCCATGTCTGGTACCGGCGTGGTGGCCAGTAGCTGCATGTCGGCCAATCGCGACTGCTGCGTTGGAAACAGTACCACTGTGCCGACTTTAGCGATGCCTGGCTGCTTGGTCAGAGCCCCGTTCTGACCAGGAGCGGGCATGTTCTCCTTGTCTTCTTTGGTTTCTCCGTCTTTGCTCTGCGCGTTGGCCTGGGCGGCCTTCGCATCGGCCTGTTTGGCTGGAAAGGGTGCGAATGGAGAGGGTGTGATAAAGTTGTTGTAATTATGAATAGAGAAGGCGCTCGTGCCGGCCTCGCCAGTGCTGTTGGTGTCATCCTTGGGCTTGACGCCGGCCGAGCGGTAGTCGTGAACCTCAACGATGAGGCAGTCGTCGTACCAAGGCGTATTGAACTCGTAGAGCTCCTCGACCATGTTGTGAGGCACCTCCTTGTTCCGGATGGCCTGCAGCAGCTCGCGCATAGGCGACTGGTAGGACAGCGTCTCCTGGGAGTCGTTCAGGCGGAAGTGCTTAGGGTGCAGGTATACACGGAGCGACGGCGGCTTGCCCTTGTGCCTGGCCAGGATGTCTTGCTGCGTGTAGACTGCGAGATATGTTAGCGCGTGTGCCGAAAGCGGTAGCGAAGAGTGAATATACCATATTTCCTGGCCTCGTCGTGCTTCGCGCCCTCGTCCTCCATGTTGGACTGGCGCGTAGCAGTGCGCGCAACTCCCGGGCGCTGAGACTCGCGGCGCAGGCGAGGAGGCTGCGCTGGGCGGGCAACTGCGACTGGGCCGGACATGATGGTGGTGACGGCGCTGCAGTTCGTCGACTCGCGGTGGGGCGGCGGTGGGACGGGCTTTCGGCCTGGGGAACCACGACCGGCAGCGGCGCGGCGTGCAGACGGCGGAGAGAGGGCAGGCGCAAAGATGCGCGCGATGCCCGAGGTGCTTCTGGCAGTGCGCGAGGGAGTGCGAGGGTGCGCGAGGAAGGAGCGACTCGAGCGAGGCTGGGCGTCCTATTGGAGATGTCTCGACGCGTGAGGATGGCCGACGTGATGTTTGCTGATCCGAGCTGATGCGCAGCTGCCTCCCCGTATGTCTAACCCTGTTTCATCATCATCCACGTGACTACCACCTCACCATGACCTCCACGGCTTCCACTCGACTTCGTCTACCTAGAGCTCGCGTCAATGCTCGAGCATCCGAGAAAGCGTTTCTTGCGAGATCCGATCGAGTTCAGTCGCCAAACTACATGCCACCTCTTGGCATGATGACTCTGCCAGCAGGGCTGTGCCGCACTCCGGCATTGCATCTGCACGCCATACCTGAGGCACTGCAACGTCCTCAGCTTGGAGCTTATTCTGACACTCCTCTCACATCGAGCCACTATCTTCCTTGTCACTCACAAAGTTCTGTGTAGTCTAAACGGCTCAGCCCGGTAGCCATCACCGAAGTAGCCCTCCCTCGTCATGACAAGCCTCGAAACCCTGCCATTGGAACTCCATGAGCACATCTTCGCATACCTCATACCTCGCCAGCGTCATAAAAACCTCGCTTGTCTCGACCCTGACTACTGGAGCGAACAAGAGAGGCCCGACATCTACAACATTCGGTTGACCTGTCGACGTCTACGTACGGCGGCATGGCAGACCTTCGTTTGGATCCTGGAAGATCTCCCAACAAAGTGCCAAGAAGGGACACTGCGGAACCTAGCTGCCCTTCTCGAGTTACCTGAAATCTCGACTAGGCTCACATATCTAACTCTTTCACCTTACCATCTCTTCACGGAAGAAGGCTACACGCATCACTTGAGTGTCATCGCCGATTCTCGAAGAGACGAATTTCATGCGCATTGCGCATGGCTTCGAGATACCCGCTCGGAAACACTGGTCGCAATCATTCGCCTGGCCCCCAAGATCCGCCATCTGGTTTGTGTCATCGCAAGCCTCAGCCTTACATTTAATGATGCAGGTGAAAAGGCGTGGGTCGGCACGGTTTACAGCGAGGCTGTTGACCCTATGCACGTAAGTCCGACTCCTCAACCGCCCAATGGTCATTTTTGAATACTTGCCTGCATTTTACCTCCATCATCTGCTTGGGGGTCCTTTACATGTGTTGATGAGCTATACAGATCATTCAAACCGTCCTCAGAGATACACACTTGGCAGAAAGACTCGAATCTATGTACCTCCTCTCCAGTGAACACCAACACAATTTCAAACACACTGGCGACATCCCTGAAAGCCTCATTCCTTTGAGCTACGACAACCTTCGTCATCTAACACTTGCACTGAGGACCCGAAAAGTTTCCGACTTCCGCATTCGGGCATCACATTTGACGAGCCTGTGCATTGTGCTCGACAGAATTTGCGACGAGGAT